CGATGTTGATAATGAATCTGAAGGTTATTTTTCTGTCTTATCTATCAAATTTATTTGTTTATTTAGGTTAGAATCACTCACATGATTTTTTTAAGAAGTGGATGTAAGCAGCATAAATTATTTGGAACGATGTTTGCAATTGTTCATTGATTTGGAAGCTTTATTGACAACAAGGTACGTCTTATTTAACTTAAGGAAGTATTTGGTATTCTTATTTGCTTTCTTTAAGTCTTTTGTTTCAATATTGATATTCTAATATTTAAGGCATTTTTAGTTTGTAATTTATAATATATTCTAAATTAAATTTGTTGAAAAGAATACACTCTGATTATAAGACTTTTGTTTGCCCTTTTAAACTATTATAGTAATTGCAGTGTAAAGCTTTATTTTTAATTAGCTTTATCACTGCTTTTTTCATATCATGCAGCGCAGTTCGTCACATTGTTTTAGGATTAAAAGTGTTATATTAAAAGAGTTGTTGGTTATTTCGTTTTTAGGCGGTTCTTTAATGCTGTTTTACACGCAAGCAATATATTAGTAGACTGTACTTTATGTTCCTTAATAACAACGGAAGTCGGTGGATTATTCTATCAGCTTGTCACAATGCTCAAGTTTTATTCACGTTTTGAAATTGATGATGTTACAGGTGAAGCCCTCACTCATGACCAAGTAAGTGATTATCATCAAGCTTAAATAAGTCGTTCGAGTATCTTCCTTTTGATAAAGCAATTTCATCTTTTCACTTGTTATTGTTTCAGATGACCGAAATGCATTATACTCATGTCATGAAGCTTCAAAAAGCCGCTTTCAATTACTTTAGGTAATTTCAAATTTCATATTAGTTTTTATCAAGTTATTGAGGCGAACTGCAATTATAAAACTTTGAAGATTTTTTTTTTCAAAATTTGTCAGCTGCAGTAAAGGGAAAAAATGTTGTGTTTTGTTTGCAGAACTATGATTAAAAATTGAAAAGGATTGAGTTTATATGCAGTAAATGGACTTTTGAAATGTATTGATAGTCATAAAATCTGATCAATCTAAAATCATTTTAGAGAGAGCATGTCCGATTTTTATCTACTGAATGTAAGTGCAGTGGATACGAGAAAAGCATTAGTTAAACAGTTCTCGTCGATCAGGTATCTTTGTTGCACATTTTTCTTCTGTGTAAATAAATAGATATTTGCATAAATTTAATTTCATTTGTAGCTGAACAAAAGTTGAAATATTACTCATATATTGTTATTCTCTGTTGACGATGTCTCTTTTTCAGTGAACTAGAATTGTACAAGTTTGCAGAATATCTGCATTTGGTGCCTCCACAAGAGTCTGTGAGTAGTCCATCAAACTTGACGAAAAATTATCTTATTGAAATGATTGTAAGTCAATATTTATCAGAGATCTAGCTTTTGAAATGAATAAGTTTCACGAAAACAATTCGTGTCACGTTTTATAATTCAAAATACCTTTTCATTTTTGGGCTCAGAAACTGATTATTTTAGTGCTATAAAAATTTTATTGTTTGCAAATAATTCTGGTAAAAATGATTGGAAGGAACTATCAAAGAAAAGATATTGTATGTGGATTTTTCGTGTTGGCAATTAACAGCTTTGGTGTTTGAAATTCCTTCTCTCGTACTGTATCATCAGCAGTATATTGCAGACATCACGTTGTGAGCGACGTATCAATCAGTTACAGCAGCTCAATGATCAACCACTTTATCCTACTGAAAAGGTTATCTGGGATGAAAATCTTGTACCATATGATCATTATAATGGTGAAGGTAAGTTTTTTAGTTCTGTGGAGTAAAAGTAGTCTAAATATTATGAAGTATTGCGTACTCCGGTTATAGCAGTTCATGTAGTTTACGGGATACTACTTTATTGTGCGTTCCTGAAATTTTTCAAAATCTTGTCATTATTATTCGCCAGTAAAAATTACTGGCGAAGTTGTATTTAAACCGAAAAAATACTGACTCAAGCGAGGTTTGATTTATTTTTCTGAACTTTAATGCTCATATTTTCTTAAAGTTTATGAGTCAGATTATCAAGTAACTTTCATATTTCAGGGGTTCTAGCTTTAAACAAATTAAATATTCAATTCTTGACATTTCACGATTATCTTTTTCGCAACTTTACTCTTTTTCAACTCGAATCGACTTGTGAGTTATTTTGATTTTGTTTTATAAATACAGCATGTTTTCAAATTATTTATTTTCAGTTCATGTAAAGTCATGTATATCAAGGTTGTCAGACAAATTTATGGTGTTCATGTAAATAAATTTTTGTCGTCACAAATGAATGTGCGAAAAGTTTGGCAGTTTACAACAGTTGTTCGAAAGTAACAAGAAAGATATCAAACTGTGGCAATATTTTTTATGTATTCTCTGCCGTATTGAGATTAAATTAGCAAGATTTTTAGACGAAATTCGTCAAGATATTGAAGATGTTTTAATTCGGATGAAACCATGGGCTCATGAATCTAATCCAAATGATATCGTGTGGGGTGGATGGGCGCGAATGGCTTTACCATTAGCCGAGTTTCAGGTTTTATTTTTTGCTCATTTTCGGGGTGATCAAATACAATTATCTGTCTGGAAATTTTATCATTTTTTCAAATTGGTAATTTGAGATTGTTGAAGTTGGCAAGCCTTTGATTGGTGAAAAGAGTCCATCGGTTGTTAAAGCAGATCTGATGGTTCATTTGCCGAAACGAAGTGATCTTCGTGCGGAATGGGAAGGTTTGTTGATTCATGTAGATATTGATACAGTTTTATTTTATTTTATATTCACTGCCATACATTTCTTTGCTTTCGATATAATTCTTTAAGTGCATTAACCGTATCGCATATGACTTAGTTCTGTTATTAGGCAAATGCAAAATAAGATCTAATATTATTCCACATATCACTGGATATTTTCTGCAAAAGTGTTTTAAATTATTTTACTTGCGTACGTTTTGAGCGGTCAGTCACCCACATGATCGTAATTATTATTTTGGTATTTATTACCGCAAATCTTTGCCAAAAGGAGTATGTATAGGTCTTCGAAAGCACGATGTATGTTTTTTGGTGCGGTGTCAACCAAAGGCTATTGTTGGCACTAAATATAGTATCACAAAGCCATTTAAAGAACAGATAGATGTCAGATCAGTACGTGGTTGCGAAATCGAAGGCATGCTTGATTCAGAAGGGAAAGTCATTGAAGAATACGGTATTATTTATTCGTTTAAAGTTACTGGCTTAAAATAGCTTATGAGAGTTTTCCGTGCCATTCGAGTCTTGCACACTTAAAATTACTAAGGGCAGTAAAATATGTACTGCATTACTGAATTCCCCACTTACCATCTTTGATTTTTTTCTTTCAGTAGTTTTTTATTTTCAACTACTTTGTGTTCACATTATATTCACTTATTAAGGTATAATTATTTGCATTGTGTTTTGTTTTGTTTTTTTTGGTGTCATTAGGAAGCAATGAGCAAGGACAAAGAAAAATTTTTAGCTGCTTATGAAAAAAAAGTCGTGTTGGAAGGACTGACAAGAAAGTTTCGAGTGTGGCTTGATGAAAATCAGTATCGTCTGGATACAGAAGAGCAGCAAGAAAGTGCAATAGATGTATGTGAAATTAACTACCTATGTATTCATTCTTTTTATAGAGAAAAAAATCGAATTATATTACTCACTGATGCTTTTAGTTATTAAACTAAAATCTATATAGTACATGTTCTAGTGAATGATTCAAGAATATTACATGCTGTTTTCAGAATATTTATTATTCTTTCAATCTTCTCATTCGTCGTGATCCGAAAACAAATAATTTCAAAGCCGTACTTGCAACGATTCGACAATTGCTGAACACAGAATTTGTAGTCCCAGACTGGTTACATGATCTCATTCTTGGATATGGTGAACCAAATGCAGCTCATTATAAATCGTAATTATGATTTTGTTGATTATTTTGTGATGGGTTGCATAGATTTTAATTTTTCTTTACGTAACTTATCGTTTCAGCATGAATACTGCAGTATCTGTGATGGATTTTTGCGATACGTTTTTATCTTACAAGCATCTCATTTCATCATTTCCGGATATTAAAATCGTGGAAACGTCAGGAAACGATGAATGTCTTGTACCACCTTTCAGGTCTTAAAATTTAGACATTTACCATTTGAAAAAAGAATTAGAAAAATTATTCCCAGAATTTAGAGATGGGTTTCATTGCTTTATAAAAAATATTGAAGGTGTTCAGCTGCAATTTATCTGTCGTTTGTTGAGGACTTTTGTGCAATGTTCTAACAACTTTTCAGATTGACTTTCAAAGAACTTGAACCACAGCATAATGTAGAGCCATCTAATTGGGATACATCAATTGTTGTGGAATCACACGTTTTACCTTGCCGTGGTCCGTATCCTCATGTTGAACCACGCAAGAACTCAATTCAGTTTACTCCATCGCAGGTGGTTTATGTGTGCTTGTTAGATGGTTATATGTGCTTGTTAATAACGTTACTTTCTAATAACTCTTAACAAAAATACTTTTAGATAGAAGCAATCAAATCAGGTATGCAGCCGGGTTTAACAATGGTTGTTGGTCCACCTGGTACCGGTAAAACCGATGTCGCCGTCCAGATCATTTCTAATATTTATCATAATTGGCCTGAGCAACGAACACTTATTGTTACGCATTCTAACCAAGCTCTTAATCAATTATTTGAGAAAATTATACAGTTAGATGTAGATGAGCGTCATTTACTGCGATTAGGTATGTTTTATGATAGTTTGCATTCAGAGAGCTTTTTTCATATTGCCATAATTTCTATGTACATATACTACTGTGTGGATTGTAATTAATACTTCGAAATTCATTGTATTTTTGAATTCTGAATATCTTCTCTTTGGTTCTAGCATGCAATATTGTATCAATTCGAAAACTTAAGGCGTAGCATCTAATGTTTCCTCAGCGTTTAATTTAAAACATATGTAAGATGTTGTAAACTGTCATTAGGACTTTTAACTGCTCATCAGTCAATTAAAAATTATTTTTTGTTTTACTTTAACATTTTACTGAGTTTAAGGTCATGGAGAAGAAGCTTTGGAAACAGAGAAAGATTTTAGTCGGTATGGTCGAGTAAATTATGTTCTGCAGAAACGAATCGATTTGTTAAAAGAGGTCTTTAACTTTGCATTTTCTTTTGCTGGTTGTAAATATTAGGAAAATCAGTTCTTTAATATGAATATATCGTAAACCTGAGCATTGTTATTAAGAACTTTTTATCTATCATATTTATTCTTGCACATTGTCTCTAATGTAGGTTGAAAAGTTACAAGAAGCTCTGGAAGTGGCAGGTGATGTCTCATACACGTGTGAAACTGCTGGATATTTCTTTCTTTACCAGGTTGTTTTTGAAATCTTAAATTACTGCGGGGAACTCATATCTTCTCATCTCAGCTTCTATGCTTCTCAGAATTATGTAATGCTATTAATGCATTCTTACATTAGTTACTTTAGGTATTCGCAAGATGGGAAAAATTTGAAAGTGATGTTGCACGTTCGGAAACTAATCAAAATCCGACAACACAGTCAGTGGCGGAAAATTTCCCCTTTACTAAATATTTTGCAGATGTTCCACATCTTTTCAAAGTATTAAGTTGATAATTCGTCTTATGTAATACAGCAAAGCTTCTTTAGCTTCACTATAATAATGAACATTAATGTGTGCCTATTTTTTGTCAAGATTAATGAATCTCGAGTTGAACACATGAAGCCTACTTTTTAATTAGCTTTTTTAGGGTATCTCTTTCGATGAAGATTGGGAAATTGCTCAGGGTTGCTGGCGATATATTCGTGGAATTTTTTCCCAGCTTGAAGAATTTAGATCTTTTGAATTACTGCGTTCAGGTCGAGATCGTACAGACTATCTTTTGGTTAGTTTTGTAATGATATCACGTCGCATCTTTTCGTCGTGAGTTCGTAGTGTTGTTCTTGATAAAGGAAGCAAGTAATAATTTCAATGGATTTCAGGTAAAAGAAGCAAAAATTATTGCTATGACTTGCACTCATGCAGCTTTGCGCCGGAAGGATTTAGTAGAACTTGGATTCAGATATGATAATATCTTAATGGAAGAAGCTGCGCAAATTCTTGAAGTGGAAACTTTCATACCTCTTTTACTTCAGGTGATAAGAATCATTCAGTTTTTAAGAAGTAATTCAATTTTTAGTTTCTCTTATCACAATATGTACTTTACTAAGTCCCGCTTAGAATGATTACGGAAAGTGATTTTGCAGGATCCACAAGATGGTAGGAGCCGTTTAAAACGATGGATTATGATTGGTGATCACCACCAACTTCCTCCTGTTGTTCAAAATGTAGCTTTTCAAAAGTACTCTAATATGGAACAAAGCTTGTTTGCTCGATTTGTCCGACTTGGTGTGCCTTATGTTCTACTCGATCAGCAAGGCCGTGCAAGGGCTGAGTATGCTTTCAATTTTTATACCACGTGTTAATATGTTTAGAACTATTCGTGCGCTTTTCCTTACAACTACAAGTTTCAGAATAGCAGATCTTTACAACTGGCGATATGAGCACTTGGGTAATTTGCCACATATTGAAGCTCTTCCGGAATATCAACGTGCAAACCCTGGCTTTGCATTCAATTATCAGCTTATCGATGTGCCTAACTTCAATGGTATTGGTGAAACTACACCCAGTCCTTATTTTTATCAGGTTTGTTTATGCTCAACATTTTTGCATAATTTAGTTCAATATATTTTAGTTCATGTTTTTTAGAATCTTGGTGAAGCAGAATATGCTGTGGCGCTCTTCACATATATGCGTATTTTGGGTTATCCTGCTCATAAGATATCAATTATAACAACATACAATGGCCAGGCTTCACTTATACGAGATGTCGTTCAAACACGATGTGCAGACAATCCATTGATTGGAGTGCCACATAAAGTTTGTTCATTCTTATGTTACTATTTAAGACTTAATTTTGTTTTATAGAGTTGTTTCACTGTCTTCGGAATACCACACTGAACAGAAGTTTTTTGATAACTTTTACTTAGTTAGCATGCTTGTTTTTATATTTTTTTTCTATGTAGGAAAACTACCAATGAGAGAATTCAAAATATTTAAATATTTTTAATTTTCCAAAGTTGATGACTTATGATTTTTGCTTGGTGCATCAGTATATTTCAGATCTCTACAGTTGATAAATATCAGGGTCAACAAAATGATTATGTCATTCTTTCCCTTGTCAGGACCAAAAATATTGGTCATATCAGGTTTTGTTATTGTTGTTACAGTGCCTTTTCTTATGATTTTCTGTCTTCAAGTTTTTTAAATGAATCTGTGCTTTGATTTAAGAGATGTTCGCCGCTTAGTTGTGGCTCTTTCTCGAGCACGCTTAGGTCTTTATGTGTTAGGACGAGTGAACTTATTCCGAAATTGCCTTGAACTCTCTACTGCATTCAATAGAGTGAGATTTTTTAACAGAAATTATGGAGATCATTTTTCATAATGTTGGTTTGTTTTAAAGCTCTTTACACTGATTTTTTTTCAGCTGTGTAAAAATCCACAGAAGTTGATGATAGTTCCGAGTGAAACGTATTCAATGTATCGAAAAGTAATGTTTTAGTTTATTGTTTTCAAAGTTTAAAACACTGGAACTTTAACGATAGTGCTGTTTCAGAATGGTAATCCTCCTGTGTCGAAACCAATAATGATCCATGATACGGTTCATATGGGTACTTTTGTTCATCAATTCTATATGAGCAACATGGAACAAATGAAAGAAAGCTATAAGGATCATATGAAGGATTATTTTGATGCTTGTCAGGTAATCATTTATTATATTAATTTGGTGTAGTTATCGCTTATTTGAAGATAGGAGTAGAATCTACGTCAGTTCTTTATTATGATGTATTGGAATGTATAAACCTTCAAATTTAATTGCAGTAAGATTTACCTCATTTTTTCAAACTTGATTATGTTCTAGCCATTCATTTGTTTTTGATAACGTTAGTATTGTCAGTGAAATTTGTTTTTATTTTTTAATGAAGCAATATATCACGGATATTTATCACATCTAAAAGTGTCAGAATTTATGATTACGTGTGGCATTGATACTAAATTATTAGTAATG